TTGGTACTGCAAGAGAACCCGCATTGACCACGTCGGCCGGCCGATGATGAAGCAGGACTAATTTATTTATTTTACTGTTGTTATAATATTTCATAATGACATCAATATTAATTCCAAACAAAAAATTCTGGAGAAACCCGGGATTTGAAGTGTAACTAGATGCAAAGAAGTAGCCAGTTTGATAATCTTGCATTGAAATCATAGAAAAGTATGGACTTGGAATTGGACATGTTTGTGAAAGAATATCACAAATTCTTACAATTGTAAACAAAATGACTTTTATCTTTTTTGTTGTATTGTATAACCTAGTTTAGGTGACTTGTTTTCATAATTTTATGCAAAGCACCAGTTAATGCTATTATATGATATCAATCACATCAGATGACGCAGAATCGGACACTTTATTATCTGTATCATTAGTTTATTTATCGTATTTAGTGGAAATTATAATTATCATGATACTACTGGGCTTAATCCTCATCATCCATTTTGTTTCATACTCTTACAGCTTGATGGATATTTTCATGCTTTTATATTCTCCCAATTGACTCTCATTTTTCGAAATATTGGTTTGTTTTTGTCAGACGTCAATATGATATATATAATACGGTTTATTCTTCATTGTCTCAAAAACTCGAGACAGTATTGAGAGAAATTTTTTGGCTATAACAACTCTGCTGAGCTGTCAAGCACTCGCTATTAAATAGCGAGTGCTTGACACTCATGGAATCGGGAAAAAACCTCGGCTTGAGGCTAGAACTTTCTATCTGATCGACGGAGGGAGAAATCAGATTTTACTGAAAATTGTGTACGATGTGTTATCGAATGCAGATGGAGGTTGTTGTTGTTTCTTACGACGTTACCGCAAAGTTGAATGTTCGGTGAAAAATTCACACATGATCTACAATGTTCTCTTTTCTCGAAGGATAATAGAAATCTATAGAAAAATGAAATGAAAGTAAACACTGTATGAAATTGTCCTCCGTGGGGATGGCCGTAGAAACTACTTTCATGAAGATATGGGCGATGATATGTTCACTTCAGAAGGAGGTGTCCTTCTGAAGTGAACATACCAAGTAAACACCAGACTTGCCGAATCCAGTCGAACGGTTGCTGTGTTTAGGAGCCAGACGTACGTCTTGCAATAAACGTACATGTCAAGTGATCCCTTAGCAGAGTGTGTCCGTCCATCGTGGCGGCTCATTGCGCGTACTCCCGCGCAAATTGTCCGCTACACGACATTAGAAGAAGGCCCGATCATGACATCGTACTCATTCAAGACGTAGCCTAGACGAAAACACCCGTCAACGTTGGCAGGTTTCATAAAGAAAGGAGACTGAAACACATCTTGCAAATGCGGGGGAGTACGTGGTGCCGTAAATCAGTAGGATAACGAAGAAGAATATTCGGATTCATGTTACATATGTTCGAACATCGTGAACGTCGACAAATGGACCTGTGTCCGCTTTTGACGACTGCTGTGCTCGAGGAGGATCTTCCATTTTTTTAATGTTAATATGAAAATTAAATATTCCTAGTTTGGTAATCTTCCTGCTTAATTTCCAGTAACTAGAAATAGGCAGAAGTTTGATGCGATACCTTACATGGCTCTAGATTACCCATTGTCAAACTCTGTCGGATTTCAAGCCATTTAAAATTTAAAATACATACAAACCAAAAGATGGATTTATCTCTACAAACGAACGCGATAAAATCTTTTGATTCTCTTGAAACCCGTGCAAATTCTACCCGTAGAATGAAAAGACATTCTACTTTCAGGATGTCGGAATATCCTCACTGTTTTCCTTCCGAGAATTTTCGCACAACATTCATGGGATTTGGGACCAAAACTCACAAGTCCTTTCTCGAGACTCATTCTCATTCTTTCATCGTCGATAGCTCATGTATTGGAGCTTTGCAGAAGATACCAGTAGGGAAGTTTCATGCGAAGTTCTTCGTGAAAACTCCTGCTCCCAACGCCAATGCTGAAGACCACGCACCTTCACGACCTTGTACTCATCCCTCCGACTCATCTGCGTGACCGAGGTCAATTACAGTAGGCTTTCCCCTTAACGATGAGAACGTCAATAGAGTCCGGTAATTCGCGTTGGGTTACTCCGGTAGAAAATTCGAACTTTTCCCACCACCTTAACGGAGAAGCCATCGGGATTCGGAACTCTCAGCACTTTATGCCCAGCCAATCGATCTTACAAAGCCATGCAAAGAGATATTGGTCAGCTTACAACGACTGCAGCTAGTGTATCTAAAACTTGGAGTCTATAGAAGAGAAATCTGTCTCCAACAAGCTGCAGAGAAACTTCCTTCCGAAGCTACTGCTATGACATTTGATTATGACATCTTCCTCATGGCGAGCTCGGCCACCTGAGGACAATCTCGCAGAAGTTACTCAAACTCCTAGGCACATGAGCTCTTGTCGTAGGGTGCTGTGTCCTTGGCCCCCTACTTTCAGATTTACACTACAAATCTTGTGAAGCAAGCTTTGCGATTCAATCTATCTTCTTCATCCAGATCTCCTCTCAGAGCATGACTTGAGTCCTATTAGTCCTCCGGGTCAATTGTCATGAAAGATTCATAGGTTTTGTAGGGCACGTGTGATACGTCGAGAATGGATTGAGGTCAAGTGAAGTCCCTCATCATTATCGAGATAGACTCATCGAATAGGCTGTATTGGTTCGAAATGTTCTCAAGTTTGTATATATAGTATTGTGCTGTCTGGCCTTGTGAGAAAGGAGGAAACCCGGCAAGAATATAACTTCCTTCATGTGAAATGACAGCGCACTACACAGCCACTCAAATTTACACGATAACAAGACAAGAAACAATCATTGATGCATGCATGAGCACATTAGAAGAACGGACGAGAGGCCCAGAATCTGGAAAGCCAGATGAAAGGGTAGGTGGAACTGCATGCTTATGGCTGATCTAGAGATTCGACACAATGAAAACTTCCTGTCAACAATGGTCTTCACTTCATTTGTTTTGACCTATAAGAAAATAGAGTAATACAACAAAAGAATTCTTTGAAGTCCAACATAGATGAAACCAAAGTGGTAGGTGGGTCTAGGCTTCAATTGCTCACATATGAAAGATGTGTCATTGTATACTAAGACATTTCAACTATCTAATACAGAGCTAATTGTTTGGTGATCTATAATGCAAAATAACATTTCAAAATTGAAAATTTATAGCTTCATGAATCTCCATGTGTAAAAGAACAAAGACACTATGTCTTTGGCAATTTTCTTAATTTTCTTTTCCTCGATACTTCTTGTCTATCAATATCTATCATCATCCATTTCAACTTTCTATCACAAAAAGTTTATGCCACCACAATGTTCTTAAAATTGCCCTAGTGCTTCGGAATCAAATCTAGATGTGAATTGACCTAAGTTAACCATAAGACATCTTGAAGTTTTTTCATATTAAATATTCATCCATAGAATCTATTGCATATATATATTACCTATTCTAAGCCACATGAATGGTAAAATAATATTGTTGTATTTATGGTATTAATAAAAGAAGTTATGTGATAGTATAAGGAGCATTGTAGAATTTTTTAATAATACGAGTAAAAAACCTTCATGTGTAATGCATATTGTGTTGAAATACACATACATGTATTTCTCAAAGAGAAGAATGTCAAAGTGCTTTAAATTTATGATACAAAATGATCTATATAAACTAATAAAGAGTGGATAGCATCTTGAATTTAATTCATCATGCTAGACTTAAGAAATTAAGTTCAATCATTGATAAAAGTGAAAGGAAGATAACATCAAATCTTAAAGATGTGAGATAATCTTTCAGTATGCACATTCTTTTGTAGATGAATATATTCAAATGTTCTAAAAAAACATATAAAATGACTTACATATGTTAGGAGTTAAATCAAGCATTATTATAGGTTAGTGTAATCCGAGTTAGTTCAGACTACTATTTTATAAAAAATCTAGCAAAAACTCTTAATGACACTTTAGATATTTTCTTAATGAAGCTTTTGTGTTTTCATGGATATATTTTTTGATGCCAAACCACGAATGTTTAGTGTCAACATGTGTGCAACGGTCATAAGTCAATATTTTTTGTTGACAGTTTGTGTTTGATGTGTTTAGATTTCTTCTGTTACAACTATGGATGTATATGTATAATTGAGATATAATACCCATGATATTATACAGCTATATTATACATCCCTCTCAAACCATACCTTACATAATTGTATAATAAAAAGTTTGTAATTGAGTACCTAGTAATTTGCATAAGTCTTGTTGTTGAGGTTAACTCTGAATTAAGGAGTAACATCAGGTCTAACCTAATTATGGCTAGATGGTCCCGGTGCTTGGTAATATATACTCCAATGTTTTGTATTACTTAACACTTTTCAGTATAACTCTCATGTGTGAGTTATCCGGTGTACATAGCCCTCTTGAGTGTGAATCACGTTATACACTTATGTCTCTTGTGTTGATGGCTTGACTTGAATGTTTCATTGAGTTTTTTCGTTTTACGTTGACGGTTACTAGTTTACTTCAAGTGCAAGATCTCATTTTTGTCGTAGATTCTACTTGAAGTATTGAAATATTGAATATTTAAAAATCTTATTAAATATTCTTAGGATAAGTTAGAAGTTTGATAGCATATATGAAACTGAGCTTGAAGCATATCCCATTTACGAGGATGCAGGTGATTGTAGCAATTGTAAATTTGATCGCGTTGACATTTCCGAGGGCGTCCATGGCATGAAGAGTATATCTTCGAGACCGTGATGAACAAGAATAACATCTAGAAATGATGACATAAGGATATAGGGTAACATTTTAGGTGGAACTTTTAGTGTTGTATGATATATTTGTTATTACACTGTATTATACGGTACTATATCACACAATCAGCAAAGAATCCAATAATACAAAGAATCCAATAATACAGATCCATATTTCCAACACATGCATGAAATAATTTGCGATAAATGTTATGCCATTCACGTTGTTAAAATCTTGAAACATTGTTTTACATATTTAAGTCTATCAACAACACTAAAGTTATTGTAAATTACAAAAAAGATGAGATGGCAACATGTTGTTGGTCTACCTACATAGTATAAAGAATCACTTTTCTACATGTTGAAATGAAGAAAAGAAAATGAGGAACTTAAAACTTTTAATGGAGACCGAACTAAACTGAGATTTTTCTTCATTACGGGAGCACGGGCATAGAGTACCTCGTACACTTGAAGCTTTGGTTATCCCACTTAATTCGATTTCGTTGTTTGTAGACTCCTCCCTTTAAAGAGATGTTTCTATAAGTGAAGAACATTGTTGAGTTGTAAGAAAGTTTGCATTCATTATCTAAAACAACCAACTCATGTCCTAACCTGAACTAAGATATCTGCCAACGAATTGAGATGAGTGTGTAGTACATCGCTTCACGTACACTTTACGTTAGAAATTCGAGACTCTTAGATGGAAACCTACGCGCTAAGAGTTTTGCAACTGGGCCATCTATGGCTCCCTGCATTCAGATCCAACATCAAGGTCATTTATCATAAAAATAACATTGCTATTAAAATAAATTAAAATAATAAAACAAAATTCCAAAACTAGGAAAGAGTAAGTAACTCTTTCGTAGTTGTGGGCTTAAGTGAGAACAAAAGGTAAGTGATATGTTTAACTTACAGCGGACCACAGTATTATGCCAACCATGTTCGAAAAAATTATAAGCCACAGGCGCAGCCGTTGAGTGAAAACCATGGGTGGACTGGGAAGACCTCCAGCGTCCTGACTCCCAATAATTTCACCATCAAACGACAGTCTTCAACGTTGAGTTTCATGATATTTTGGCCACTTCTATCAACATGGCAGAGGTGGAAGTGACTATGATCATGACTAAATCGTTTGAAAATCAGAAGACACGATACATAACATTTCGCAAAAGTACAGCACCTGGTATGCCCTCCACACAGGGTTTTCTGGATTAGGCCTATTGAACTGCTCGCTGGCCATGTGGAAGGAGCGCGTGAAGGCATTTTCTGAGAGTAGAAGTACGCATGATACCATGAACATGATCACTACCCAGGATATCTGCACCATGCATACAGTTAGACTCAGCTCCTGATTCTTTAGTCTCAAATTTAGGAACAATTTTTTTGCGCGAATGACGTGATTAGCTTTCATATTTTGCCACTTTGATACTGGATATAATTTGATAATATGGAACTTCATGAGAGAGTGAAGAAATGATTTATACGGAAGAATGCTAAATTTATCACAGTCTCTTGAGGAAAATCACGGGAAATATACAATGCTTCTGTATTGCCTATGGTTCACAGAAGTGCCAATCAAGACGGTATCGTGAAACTTACAAAGAAACCTTGGTTGAGGAAGACGCTCCGTCTGAAAGAAGAACCGAATGTGAAGGCGAATGATGTTGTGACGAATTGCGAGTACACAGTATAGAAGATAACAGTAACCTCCCAGTTGTCTCCTAGCGTCCACCACGAATTGCCCAAAGAGTACCTTCACAATTCCAAATTAAGGACTTGCTAAAGCACACGACTGGAAGAACTTTGTCAACGGCAAAGAGACAGCAAATAGCTTAATGAATCAGAGTATAAAATCCCATCAGTAAATGCTGGATTCCAGTTTAAGGTAACTGAATGCTTGCGCAATTGCATTCGCAGATGCATGTTCATAATGGCAGGAGGATGAAGAACAAAAGAATGGGTTTGGGAAGATGAAGATGTCATATTTTCTATGCATGACTAAGAGGAACATTGATGGTACAGCCTGACACGCTTGAATATCCTATGCACACCAGCACTGTGCTGGTGTAAATAGGATATCTAGAAGAAGTTCTCTATATATCGTCCCGGTTGGGCTCCAAAACTCTTACTTTGCTGGCCACGGAACATAGCCATGTAGGTTTTTCATGTAGACGATAGCAATAATCAGGAAGATGATATTCATGATCCATATACCCAATGTCGATGCCACAGTTTGAGGGCTCAGAAGAGACGAAGTAGGCCTTTCCTGGAAACATGCACTCCCACTTTGTTTCAGTCATAAAGCAGATTTCAATGCTCAGAACTAACATCCTAGTTCCATTTACAACGATGGCTAACAGAAGTTTCATACTCATAATAGAAATCGGGAAATTACTTAGTTCATGATTCACCCGATATTTAGGACTAAGGTAGTGATTTTTGAACTCATGGTTACAGCAAATACTGATGTAGCTAGTTTAAGTTGAGTTGAGCTTATCTCTTTAGGATTGTATACCTAATTTAGTTTGAGTTAGAGAGAAAATTCCTAAGGCTGATACCTGGATGTGCACTACACTACTTTGTAATTGTGCACCCGAAGAATCAAATTATCTTTCTGATCATTTCTTAGCTATTTCTATCCTTATTTCATGCGTCCTCGTGCTACTCTGATCCTCGACCCTGTATGAGCACTGCGCTTTTTCAGTGCTCATACTGCAACGAAGCTTTCCATGACTTTCCTGTAACTCAGTAGCTAATTGATTGATTGTGCATGCGTGTGAGAGAAGACTGAGAAGACCGACTGTGAGTCGTTACGTCAGTCTCAAAATTTTGGATCGATCTATATAAGTTCTAAACGTTTCCACCTGAAGTTTGTGAATCATTGAGATCAATTTAAGTGAAACTCCTGATGGCCAACCTTGCTCAATCTCTTCGCTGGCTGACTAAGAGTCATTGTGTAGCCGAGAACGAGCACCGCCACAGAGTCAATAATTATGTAATCCATCTCGCAAGCAATAACACCATACCTGGACGAAAGAACATGTTGTCTCGGTCAAATTTCCAACCTATCGCTTCTTAACCAGATTAATCTAATTTCAAACTTTCACATGACCTATAAATTGTATATCTTTGTTATTATGTACATAAATACAGTCAGATGGTTGTTGGAAACCTCATGACTTTCACGTCGCTAAATATGCAGTAAGATTTTATACAAAGATGACGTGATCGATTGGAATCAACTATATTTTACTTGTATATTGGAGAAAGTTAGAATTAGTACCAGTTACATGCAAGTTTCAAGATCGAGAACGTCAAGCCATATATGATGAGGAACTTGTAGCAAGCCAATGAGGTATGTAAACATCCTCGACCTTCTCGCACTAGGTCTACCACAGAAGAAACCTGCAGGTATTCATTACAACAGTCATTAACTTTCAGATGACAGTGATACAAAAATAGTGCTTAATACGAACCTCATGACTTCATGAGGAACGGGGCCTGGGTAAATTGTGTATAAAAGTTGACCACTACGAATATACTTTGTGTAAAATCAAGCCTCACTCACAATTAACTTTCTAATGTCAATGTGGAAATGGTGAGAATGCGCTTCTGAATTTTAGAGAAAACATAAATTAGGCTCACCGACTGGGTTACAGAAGTGAAGGGCGAAACAACAGATGCTTCCGCACTACTCAAAGCAAGACCAGCATGTGCAGCTCGAAGGGCTCCACAGTCATTGCCGCCGTCTCCACACATTCCCACCACTATTCCTTGGTCTCGATGCATAGTTACCAGTCTCACCTGACAGTGTCCATTGTAAGTTAGATAAAAGCATACGGCGAAACTAAAAGTATGGTAAGATAAAGCTCATAGAAAAAAGGATACTAGCAGTGAGAAGACAAAGAGGCAAGCGTAGGAAAGAGCAATGATTTGATCTGTTGTGAGATGAGAAATTTCTAGATCGTTAATTGAAGAATAGGTGATACGATCGGAATCTAGTATGACAGCTCAAGATAAAAAACATTAATGATAATGTTATTCACGCACCACTTAAACAAAGTTAGCTTAAACAAGAACAAAAAGTAACAAATAAAGTGTCTTTGTATAAGTACTGTTGAATGAAAAACTGGGCACAAGGGTTTGTTTCCTTTCAAGGAAGTTATGTCATAAGGCAGCTTATGTCTTTTAAGGTCATGAAACTACGAGTACCTTATCTTCAGGGGTAAAGCGAGCATGTATACGTGTGTAGAAGAGAAGTTTGGTCATCATCTCTGTCTGGCAAAGGGAGTTGAAAGCTTTCCCTGTGACTGCCAGCTCTAGAAGACCATTTTTAAACCCCTTATTTTGTTCTCTGAGCAAATCTTCCGTGCTCAAATGCGGCTCAAGAGAATCTTGTACTTCACCCATTCTTGACCATGTAACTCTGATGATGCAAAGGAGAACAACATGAACTTATACACGTTTTGAAGTTGCAAGGAATTTTAACTCACCAAGTGCACTTCACTCAGCAAGAATCTATATATTTTCACTCTTAAAACTTTGGAAACGAGAGGAACATATTTCAAGAATTACCTAAACAGATAAACTTGCACGACACGTATCAAATGAGATGAATGACTAACCTGCCACTTGGTTGCTCAATATCACCCAGGAGGATCGGCACATGTTGTTCAACCATTCCACATTTTCGTGCAATATAGTGACCTGTCTGAGCGTTATCTCCAGTGACCATCACGGGACGTACCTGTCGATTTATTACAGCTTACATGAGACCTCCAGTTCCAAGCTCCATGCATTTTTAATCTTCAGGTGAAATCGTTCCAACAGAGGAATTTACCTGGCCGTCTTTCAGATTTTCGATAGCAACACGAGTATCGCTTTTCAACTCGTTACGAAACAAGAGCAGCGCAACAAAGGAAAGGCCATCTTCCACCTGGTCGCGTGACAAAGATAGGATCTCCTCTCGACTTGGTGGTTTCCCGAGATTTCTGAACAAGACTTGGACATGATGAGAACTGCAATATAAATATGCCACGACCATGAAGAAGTTCTTCGCAAGAAGCTACTATCGAAACAGAATTCTGTTCCATGAACCAAAAAATGACTCAAACAAGCAATACGACGCGTAAAACTCTTCATAACAGCCTCAACAACTGATGTATTTCTCAATTTGAGCACAAAGACTGCGAACTGGAAAGATTTCGTGTCTATGTTCACAGGTCACAAAGTTCAAGCTCACAAAAGTTAGAATCCTGAATAGTGGAAAAGTAAACAATTACACATATGAGCAAGAAGAAAACCTGTAACTCAAGCCCAATATGTAGCAGCCATGTAGAGCATGGTCTCGCGAGATTCGTAGGTAATCTTCTGGTAGGCTAGCTGGTTCACTTATGTCTCCTATCTTCTCAAACGAACCCTGAAGCGAAGGTGAGAGCAAGATTGATGAATTTGATAAATGAGTCATGAGGATTCTGTGAAACAATACAGCCCATTGGAACTTGTTCGTCATACCTTACAGTAAATATGGATCACTCCCCAAGAATCTTCTACGATGACACTCATGGTGGCTCGACTATGATCAAATTCGTGTCTCTTGAGTATTGTAAGTTTTTCCTTCCCTTTGCGCACTACTGGATACTCATGAACAGACTCGATCAGATCCCATCCAGAAGCTGAGAACATTTTAACCTGCATCGTGTAGGTGCGTTATGACTTAGTTAGTCCTCCATCCCAACAAAAAAAAAAAGGGATAGTTGAAGATTCTTCAATTGTGATAGTAAATCATGTGAACATCAAGCAATTCAAGTGAGAATACTTCTGAAAGCAAAACTTGTGTTTGGTAGACGCATTGAACGCTGGTGAGGTCATTGAATCAAGTGCAAAATCTGTTCCCTCAGCTGAAAATGTATTACAGTACCTCGACTTCATTGCCCACAAATTGATCGCCAAAGCGAGAAACAGCATGGCAAGTAGCCAGACCACGCATTGTCAACAAGTTTATATCTCTAGAGTTTTTAAGAACAAATAGCTGGTTTTCAAAACTTGCACGGTCATCAACTCTCGTACTGCTGTGCACTCCAATAAAGTCCAGTCCATTTTTGGTAAGGGTTCCTGTTTTATCAAAGCAGAAGAGACGTATTTTTCCAGCAATTGCTATGCGCTTAGGATTGAGACAATGCACTCCCAATTTCTGTATCACACAACACATGTACACTTGAGCATTGTGATGACTTGTATTGAGTGCTGATAATACCAATATGCTCCTAGCGAAAGTTTTTCCTTGCAATACGCTCCTTTGTGTTCGTTTCAGAAAGCATTGCAGTACCTTTTCATCTCACTTAATAACAGGGAACTGTTGACAAGAAACTTACAAACCTTGAGCCGTTCGACTGAATGAAGCTGGCCCACCTCAAGAGCAACAGGCAGCAATGGAGAGACTGTCTGACTGAAGAGTGCAGAGCAGTATGCAAACTTCGTGACCCATATGCTCTGTTGACCATTATGGTTCTGCACAGCTCCATATAATTAGGATGGATGCTCATGCTCCATGATAAAAAAAAAGTTCAGCTTCACATTTAGGTCAGTTCGTGCAATTCCTCCCTACCTCTTCCAAACAATGAAGTTTTCAGGATTCACTCTACTAGGCAAGTAAAATTGAAACATATAAACTCAGTTCTTGGTAACAGGTTGAAGTTCTTGCTTGAAGTTAAATGTTGATTCTTGCTCACCTGGAAAAGGAGGGAGATCACGAAGCACACCACTGAATAGCACAGAAGACATAAAAATACTATTGGAAGCTCCTCATCGTATTTGAAGATCATGCGCTCAGGATACAATATGGTAGACAAAAGTGCTCCTTTGGATGTGCCCATACCTATATACATATTGACATTGATAAATATCTCTTAAATTGTAAGTCCTCGAGCTCATGCTTCGATATTAAACAACACCCTCGTCTTCGACATCCTAATACAAAGGATTATAAACAAAAGAGAAATAAATCTAAGTTTTGAGAAAGTCGATCAGAAGCCAGTCAATAAACAAAAATAAATGTGTGAAAACGACCACCAAATTAACCGCTATATCCTACCGGTGGCACTGACTACACCAATAATCTCATCGGAGGGACACGTTCCAGCTTGCAAGACTGTTGCTCCAGAAAAGAGAGTATGTCGATATCCACGACCTTGGGGTTCATAGCCATCCTGAGAAATAATTGCTGCGTATTTCTGTACTGGCATAGACTCGCCTGTTAAACTACTCTCGTCGCAAACGCAAAAACCTGTGAAGTGATTCCAATTGTTGGTTATATGCCGTTCAGTAACAACCCGAATAACGCGAGAGGAAACTGACACAGATGGATATCTACATGTAAAAAGAAAAGAACTCAAAAAGGAAGGACGGCAGTGAAAGGCCACCAAAGTTGAGGTCGCCTTTGTCAGCTTCAAAATCTCAGCTCGCGCCGACTGACAGAAGAAATGGCACCTGTTCAGGTTCATCTGAAGGCGTCTTAACAGAAGCAGAGAGCCAGCTAGGGGACCAGGGGACGTTGTTTGTACCTTTAATAAGAACAGCGTCACAAGGTAATACCCAATTGCTCCTCAGTTTGACGACATCTCCAGGAACCATCTTCTGAGATTCTATGGTGATCCATCTTCCGCTTCGCAGAACATCTGCATCGGTTCTGTACTCACTTATCTGCGCTCAAAATGCCTTAGCTAAGTTCAACAAGTCGCGGGCAAAAGTTCAGCTCAACTCAATTCTGTTTGAACACATTCGATCGTGGGCTGAATAGGAAGAGCTAAAGACCTTAGCGATTTCCAGCTGAGATTTTCGGCGCGTGTAGATTGTGACGCAAGCACTGAGCACGACGACGGCTATTAACAGCAGCGCCATGAAGAGGTATGCTAGATACAGGTAATTGAAGTACATGATGGTTTGATAAACGTGAAACAGAGTGAAAAGTTCGTCGTAGATTGTGAACCAAAAGGGCTCAGCATGGAATGGTATCTCGTTTGGACCCAGTTCCTCCAACCTCGATTTGGCTATCATCGTGGACAATCCACCAGAAGCCTGCGCTTCACCGGATCAGTCACAAATTCAATCAGATACATCTCAAATTCTTGTTTGAACTAACATAGGGGCTATCGACTACGACTCTGATTCTTTTCTGACAGAGATTCGTTCTTGTCAAAATTATTCAGTGAAATGGACGGACCATCAGTTAGAGACTAGCGAGCGTAGAGCACTGTGTACACCCGACCTCAAGAAACGCTGCGTAAGTACTGCCGACTTGGAAGTGTGATTGGTGGAGAGAATCGCCATCGAACGAAAAGCGGTGCCCTTGAAAGAGTACAAAGCGAGTGCCGTTTTCTGTTTGCAAGATTTTCAGAGTGTCCGAGAGACCTTGACGTTCTTGGGAGACCACCAAATTCTAACATCAATCCACAACAAGCCGTGCGTTAAGCTTTTTAAACCTCAAGGCCAGAAGAACAAACGATGACTAATTTATACACAACGTTTCAGTCCTTGAATCGAAGCTTTCTTCTACCAGGCCCGAGTCTGGTCCTCCATCTCTGAGAGAGAGAGGCTGGACTCAAAGACGAGTGAGTATTTTGTCACTTGGTTACCTTGAGTTTGCGTGCTTGGCGAACGAGTAACGAAACATCAGGGCAGAGGATCTCTCGTTGATGCGGCGCCCAGACATACACCACACTGGCCTCGGACAAGCTGCATGGGATTCGAAACCAGTTTTGAACTTGGTCGCGGTTAATAATCCACGCCATGTACCAAATGCCCATCAACCACCAGAGTGTGAAGTAAACCTGTATCGATCCCCCTCCACCAAATTAACCCACAGAACCGACCCCGGCGACCGACTCGGAAAAATCTTCACGACAATAATACTATCGCCATACCATCAAACAAGCTGTAACTATGGCGCTCGTTGGGCTTCGAAGTGACTCGAAGTCCAGATGAGCAATGCAAATCCAAATCCAGTGCTTCGCGAAGTACAGGATTGGGACATTACAATCTGGTTTCGATGAGGAGACAGATGATGCGTCTCTCCTGTGAAATTTCCATATGAAGTAGGATTGATGATTTTACTCACCACCGATCGAATTCTTGATTTAAAATAAACCTGAATTGATCGGCTGGTACTCACAACTTCATCCGAAGATTATTAGAGTCCATGAAGATGCTAGAACTAAACTCACGGTAGATTTGACGATGAGATGGACTCACCACGCCATTGAAGTTGTACGTGCCGAAAATGAAGTAATTGCCGTAGAAGCACAAGTTGTCGACGCCCCGAACTTGGCACTTGTTGTAAGTATCGAGGAGCAGGACCATCCACAAGGCCATCCAGTGCACAGACGTCAAGATTGCCAGACTCCAGCAGTAGGTCCCGAACATGGTTTGCTTGTATCCTGTGAACACGAGGTTCCTCTGTTCCTCTAAGGGCAGCCGGACCTCTTCGCTCTTCTCCCCTCGCCATATTTGTTCCTTTCTTCCTCTTCCGGATGCAGCAGCCTCGGAGTGGATTTGGGTGACGACGAACGGCTCCACCGGACGGCGTTTGAGTCGCCTGATTTTGTAGATGGAGAATATTGTGAACGAAAGGATGTTTAGGCCCCAGTACCCGTAGACGACGAGCAATGGGCCATCGGTGGCACTGGTGATGCGCACTTTACAAGTCGGGTCCTCATCCGTCCCACAGATTGGCGGACCTGTCGGATACTGAGGCATTCTGAGTTGGTGGTGATGATGATGATGCGATCCTTCTCTTCCGAGCTACCTGTATTCCAACATCATTATAGATGCATCAGTGAGACCACTGGGCGGATTTCCACCGATTCTTGTCAAGATTCAAAGCTTGATGAGTTCTGCATGCCTGTTATTTTCATTGTGCTACAAACTCGTTCTTCCATCGGCAAAGTCATACACTCTGGCAGAGAGTAAAATTCCATGGACTGATTGATATATTCTTCAGCTGTGACGTGTGTACGTTCTGCTCCCTGGAACACTCTTTAAAGTGGACAGAGAAGGTCGGAACTCGAACAAACAAACGGTTGGTTTGTACGTAAAGATGCACAGAAATCGGCCGGTTACGACAGACGAGGCAGAAATGGACGGACCATTTCAAGAATTGGGCCAATTCGTAGTTGGAGGAGGTAAACTATAATCTAACTATAGCATCACCGACAGTTGCTGGCTCGACATTGACCTCTGGAAGTCACTCAAATAAGTGATTCTCCACTGTCTTGATCTGTACTGCTGTCAGTATACTGTGCATTCAGCCGTCGCCGTCACTTGAGCCTTGTTTCACGTGGGTGGATTAGTTCCAAAAGGACGTCTTCAGACAGACATCAGACTCCAAACCTGAAGGGGTTGGGAACAGATTGGGCTGGCAGTCAGAGATACAATTGTCATACAAATATGTTGCACATGGCTTTTCTACTCCCGTGAACAGATGCACGGAATTGATTGCTCATAGACAATATTTCAGCAACGATCGATGTTTACACCGTGAAACTGTGTGTGTCAGACATAAATCATTCCAACAGGCTTCAACACGCGGGGGCGTTTCCACTTGAAGTACAGTACGGAGCCATGGATTACTCGTTCCTCGCGATTGCAGGCAAAGTGTCGAAAGAGATATTAGTGGCAGTGTACGTAGTAGCACAAAGTTCTTGACCAAACGCTCCAGATAGGAAAGCAAAGAGGAGGAGCGTGATTGCTCGTTAGCTGGTACATCTAGTGCAGTTCCAGCCAGAAAATTGGAAAGTTATTTCTAATAGATGTATAATCTGAAATTTGAAATGAAGCTACACACCGGAGAGTATTATCAAGGCTAGGTAAAAGCATCTGGAGCTGAAGTCCAGTCATGGATGGCTCGTAGAAGCAATTTGGAATCCGAGTTAAGTGATCATGTACTGCTTCAGCTCTCAATCAGAAGAATTCTCTGCCATTCAATCTCTCCCATCGTAATGGAAAGGAGGATTCAAATAAGGGTACTGCGCAACTCATGATTGACATCGACGGTATAGCCGCGGGGAGACGAGGGACATACTGGAGATTGTTCCTAATCTTCGTTGAAAAATGAAGTACTTGTCGAACGAAACCTCTTCGTCATACTTCATGGGATGCCATGGGAACGTTTTCCTGGGCTCTAGATTTTTGAGTCTTCGATGATGAGGAGAATTGGTGCAGAGGTCTGCTCTGCTCTCGCTTCAGAGGATGTGAACCAAAACAGACTCTTTCTCCCTCCACAAATGTATGCACGCTTACAAAAGCGCTGTCCTCAAGATTCTTCAGAGGATCTAAACTTTCATTGACCGAGCGATTTCACGAGACATCATAGATTTTAATCATGGAGAAAGAGAAGATGCTGTTGCCATTGGTTCACGTGCTAAAAACAATCACATTCACCATCAAAAGCCAGGAGGAGCTTAAAGCGGAAGTAGATGGGGCTGACATCAGCTCTCTCTCTGCTCCGAGGCCAGGCCTACCCAGAATCAGATTATATGAATTTTGTAAGGCCGTGCAGTCTACAGCTCTTCGAAGGAGCTGGATCCACCCTTCGTACCTTGAGATCGTTGATATGAAGATGAAGAGTCTCAGACTGTGTGACGTTTACGTCTCGATTTGGTTGGTGGGACTTGCATGTATCCACGGGATTGACACCAGCTACAGATCTCTTCGGAAACATTATTTTATAGTGATGTCTCCGGTTACTGCACAATCTCGAATATACCCGCAGGTCCAACCATGCCCGATGCATGAAAGGTGACGATACGTCATTTCGGAGTCGAGGTCACAACCGAGTGGTTCCACCACGACACAATCTGACTTACGTCTTAGCCAGAGGTTCATACTCGACGTCTCTCAGTTGGGTCAGCTCTCTCTCTCTCGCGACCATCCAAACAAGCAGTTATTCAAATTACAGGAACTGTAATCAATGTCTATGCTGCTTGATCTGCAGGCAGTTTAGACATTCAGCCAGCTTAACCAGCTGAATGGTTGTACAGCAGAGAGGTCTGTTAGGTCTGAAAATATATGTGACTTTGTTATCATGAACAGACGCAACTAGAAAGGCGGTTTACTTGTCCGTTCAACGTACAGCGACCAGGAGGTCAAAATATGTACAATCTGGAAAGTCATGCTCCAGAGCACGGGTTGTGAAGCCAACGTGATTCTCTTACACGTGTCAGAACACATTTAGCTGACCTCCCTTAGAAACTCGTTGGTCAGCCTGGCTTTGTCACGCCCTATGTTTGAACAGCGACATAATTCGAGCCGACTGACCAATCAATGGCTTTTGAACTTTAAAGCGTCGTCAACATTTTTTTGTGCCGAACAGTATATCCGCATATGGCTCCGAGTGTCCCGTAGCATCTTTTGTCAAATCCTATCAATGGAGTCTGTTTCGAGCTTTTTTTTCTCAGCACAGTCACCGAGCAAACTTTCACGGATTTTGCTTGACCGTGGAGGACGAGTCTCTGAGCTTTATAAGTTGATAAACTACTTCCTTCGAAAAGGTCTGATCGTATTAGTTAAATAGGTGTAACAAGATAGTCCACCGGAAAATGCGTCCCTCTACTAATTCCCCTTATTGCTCTGAGAGGCCGAGAAAAGCATTTGTTACAATAACTTAAAGGTGGAAAACCGGTCCCAAGGTTCGAGGGTCGTTGCGGGTACCTCTCAGTAATGAAGACCACATCACTCTGAGTTTCAGTCGGCAATCAGATTTTCATGAGATCAGAAAAGCGACCATAATGTTCGACTCGCTTGGACGTTATGTGCAAGCATTTGGGAGAAGCCAAGAGTATCTAAAGCTCAAGACGGACTGTGAAAGAACTGCGCTGAAGATCTTCATTGCAGATGCAAAGGCATCAGAGCACAATATATGAAACCACCACCACCATACACTACAGACGAGTCGAAAAGAATGTGTGGCAGATATTGGGGACGACTTTGGAGAGACCGAAGCGGAGATTTAGAAGAAAGATCACATCATCCTTCTCAAGCGCAACTGAAGAAACATACAGGTCCTTCCAGAGAAGCGCGGTGCTGTATTTCTTCAAGTTTGTTCCCTTCTCACTGATTTGACAGCCATTGAGTTCATGTTAATAAAATGTACCCTCGATATTTACCATTTGATTCCGGCCATATTTTACTCTAGTTGACGACGTATTTTTAACGTGTGCAGCCGTGTGTCACACAGGTAGAGAGGTAAGGATTGCCCTTCTGGAGGGATTCTGTCCCATCCGAAGATTAGAATCGGCATTAATACAACAGCTTCAACTCCCTGATATTACGAATTGCCTTGTCTGTTCAAATAATTAATTTATATATTTCTGTTCTCTACAACAACTTCACAGAGACGACCATGCCCAAAAGCTTTTTGGATTTACTTTTCAGTATCAAAATCAAATCCATTTATTGTAAGTGTTCATAGTGTTCCAACTGTTGGCCCATTCTGTTCGGCATAGTTAGTCTAGATCCTTTTTGCTGAACATGTGGCCCTCTTTCTCCCTGCTAGGCTTATTGGAGAGCAGCAAGTGCAAGTGACGTTGTGTAACGCCAGTAAAACTCTTAGTTTAAATGTCGGTCATGTATCAGGACGATGCTCTAAAATGGACAAGGTTTCTTGAACTGGGGGAGCATATTCATTTACTCATACGTAACGTGATGGAAGTCATTTCTCTACGTGGCGTGTACTCAAAATGTAAGGCTGAGGATTTGTGAAAGGGCTGCATATTGATATCCCTTTTGACTACAGGAGGTCTCAAAATAACCTTACATAACGTACATAGATTTCTCAGCTCAGATGTTCCGATACACTCAACCAACCGTGCCTGAAATAACATGACCCACTCTACCCTCACAAAATTGCTGTGTATCCTGTGGGCAATCAAAGAAGTCGCATTCAGACTTGATTCGTCCGAATCTGTCCTCTACCTTAGCAGATCCAACCATTCCTTCGAAGGCCTGGCCCATTTGAGTGAGATTCTTGTGCTTATGCTGGTCCTTTATCTGGTTAGATAGACATCCATCGATTCAAATACATTATCGGAAGTCGTCTGCAATCGTAACCAGCAAAGCTTGTTCGGTTCTGTGTCACAGCTTAAGGTGGCTGTCAGTAGGAGTCTTCTCTCGGGCAGCAGGAGGCTTCATTTCAGCGACGCTGGAAGTTGAATCTGGCGATGACAAACATGAGCAGCGAAACGAAAAGTACCGTTCAAAGAAGTACCATGACAATCGTCAGAGGAATGACACTCATCTCGGCACCTGATCCTTCTCGTAAAAGCACGTCGATCTGCGTCGTGCTGCCATCGTACATAAGCAAGTTGTCGTTCAAATTTCGAACTATATAAGTATGGTGCCATTTAGCGAGTCGGCCACCGGCCAGAACCGATAGTACCATTTCACCATATCTTTCTCTGAAAAAAACCTGTTCTTTCTGTGACACAACAAGCTGACTTTATCGGCCATTGTACCTACTTGCCAAAACAAAACACAAACTGATTTTCGTATATATGCAAATAGAGATCCATGGTGTCATACAGTGCACAGACTCCAGATAGAAAAATCTGGACCAGTAAACCAACTGTGGAGCTCATATATTAATAAATTCGTAACAAAATGAGAGGAATTCGACTCTCGGGCAAAATCAAGTATCAGCCGGAATGCTTGGATAAATCTTTTATGTATCTTCACCTCTTAGGTCCGATACCTCAAAAGATGCCTATGGCAAGCGCACATACTGCTGTATAAACAATTCTTATTTCGTTGAAGTTAAGATTGCGCCCGACTAAATCTCTATCAAATTTTTTTTTAAAAATAAATATACTTTCGTTTCTTTGTATGGGTTTAATAATTTACCTTATCGTGAAAATAACTGTTCGAATTTACTCGAAACGAACTGGTTCTGAAAGCGGAAAGTTTGACTATCTATTGAACTTATCATGAATTTATTAATTCATAAAATAGTCGAACCAAGCAAAGTTCAATTGTACTATAACGATATCTGTGGAATCAAAACAATATATCAGGAAGTATATTACCATGTTATGATATGGAGTGTAACCTCAACTTAGTATAGTAAAAGATATAGTCACATGTGCTGACGGTAGCAAGTTTTATGCACCTCAGAACATTTCAGCCCATCATGGAAATAAAAATATTGTAATCGATTTATATCCAAAACTTGTTCAAATTGCATGTGTTCGAAATAGCTCTCACCCAGTTTGCAGTCTGTTTTGACCCGTACCATAATTACCAGAATACAATCTTACACTACGTTACATACGGGCGCAAGCATTCTGGAACTTGTTTTTCATTTGTATCTCATATATTTTAACCCAAATATAGAGTCAGAAAAGCTATTCTCGGCCGGAGTAGCTTTTCTGGACGCCTAAAATAATGAACCTTATGGGTCTGAGTACTTTGCCATCAGCATTTCTCTTACAAGTAGGGAAGGTGACCTAAACTGTGGAGATTGTTATCCATAAACTTAAACTTGCTCCCGTTTAAAAATTAGATGTTTCATCATAAAATTCTACCCTCCTATCCTGAAACTCTCTAGTATATAGGGTTTGGGTACAAGTTTTGGGTTTATATATGTATTTTAAGCTCGTAATTATCAACTGCTGCGAAACTAATTTTACTTCTGAACCGTATCCTGCATCCATTATTGCCTGTCATCGCAGGAGTTGTTCCTTCATTCATAACCAGGCCTCTCTAAATACGGAAATCCGTCAATGGAGTTCCGTATATTCCGTAGTAGGTTTTCAAGAAATTTTGTATTTAAAAAAATAATTTTTTTTCTTCATTTACTTGGGCGTAACTAGAAAGTGATAAAAGTTTAACATTCCAGTTCCGACATACCCATTATGGCTGTTAAAAGCTCTTAAATAGTTGTTTCAGTTTAAAAAGCTTTCGCACCATTATTTAAGTTAACTACAATTTTGGTAATATGATGACTGAAGTTCGATGGATTACACCAAACCCGCTACAAAGCGACCATGCAAAGTTATAGGTCTCAAAACTTCATTTTGCACCATTATTTAATATAACTACAATTTTGGTAATATGATGCCTGAAGTTCGATGGAATACACCAAACCCGCTACAAAGCGACCATGCAAAGTTGTAGGTCTCAAAATTCCATTTCAACCTAAACATCTGATTCTCAATCCTCCGAAAAACTTGTTACAATTAATTAGTTGGATTAATTTGAAGTTCTGCATGTTTTGATATCACTTTGCAATCTAAAGAAGTTTAAAGTTCAACCAGTCGAGTTCCAACATTTTGACTTCCTTCTTACCTCCAGCTTTGAAAAGAACGGGATGTAATTCTAAAATATCAAGATCTTTTGAAAGTTATTGGCAACTAAATTACATTCATCAAAAAGTGGAGTAACACAAATAATCTATGGTATTTGTGCACCATGGAGTATTAAAATGTCAATTTCCAAACACTTCTACCTTAGAAATTGGCTTTTCAAAGATGAAATGATATTTACATATCAAAAAGAACACCCATATCCCTAGAAAGTGTATTCAAATAGAGAGTACTGTTCATAACTTAGCTCGACAACAATGTCTCCGAAATATTACTATCTCGAATAGTGAATCTCGTAAAACACTCTCGTTTTGTGTAACAATGTTGGACATGTTTTGTCTGGTATCTTGCAACAATTGAACAGGTCCTGTGGTATATGATCATCCGGTGGTATCAGATTGTACTATGTGGGGGCAAATATCAGTGGGCATCCACCATGTATCATTTATTGTCCACAGGGACTCGGCGTATGCTGTCGTCGTATTGTGAAATTTTCCTCTTCTTGACATGTGCAGAGTATTGTACATGTCCTGCCCGGCCCATTCTCCATTGACTTTGTTCTGTTCCAAACCCCTCTGTCCCACAGAGAGACATTGTTTCCATACCTACTCTGTGGGATCCGACCGAAATCGCCGATGGACGTGGATTGATCGTGCCTTCGGGGACATCCGATAAAATTGGAACGATACTCCTTCCAGATGCAAGTCTGAACGTTTCGTAGGTTCGGTCCTATTTCGGAGTACAGACACTGAACGGCGTCATGAGACAGACTGTTGAAGACATCGTGATGCAAGTCTAGCTGAGCAAAATGTTGTGAACCCGATGATGATTGCTCTGTCCAATTCTCTAACTTGTCTCCTTCACGCTCTTCCATGAGTTTCGCAGAAGTCATTTACTTAAATCCCTTCTTGTCGTTATTAGCTTTTTTCCATGTCCGTGTCTCACAACAACTCCCGTGTACATCGGATTGTGATACACAAATGAATTACTTATTTAGAATGCAATTGTTGTTCAAATTATTTAAAATTATTAAAAAAATTAATACAATCATTATAAATCTACTGAGAAATTAATATTCAATGCAGGATTGAAACTTGAAAATATTATATTTAATAATGCAATTTCATAACAAGTCTGGCAAAAAAATATCGTTATGCTCAGTTTGATGTTTACTTGAAATATATACTTTTTTTAACAAATAATGTTTTATATATTGAATAAAATGTAAAATATATTTTTTAATGATTTATTCTACAATATTCAAGTATCAATTATTTCTAGTATCAAAGTTTTCTGAATTTTAATGTATTCTTTGATGATAACAAAAACGACGCAGTATTGTGAAAATAATTGCATATGTAATCATTTCTTTTTTTTCATAAAAAATATAATTTAATATCTATCTAACTAGTAAAATAATTTACTACAAAGATGATAAAAAAATATATATTCAAGTATTTTCTTCACGGATGATGTTTGTAAAGCTTCAATAAACATATATTTATTTAATGTTTATTCGTATAAAGTTTGATCATTAAGTAAAATGAATAGAAAATTTTGTATGATAATATTAAATAAATATTTATCTCATCGTAATACATTGATTGATATATATATATAGAGAGAGAGGTGTTTTACATTCTTCAATAGCTAAGACATACAATATAAACTTTGATTGATTATTATATTGAACAGATTTATACCTTGTATGTAATGTATTTGTCAAAGAATAAATATGTTGACAGATAAATTGAAATAATTTATCATAATGTTGGATTTCATAATTTTCTAAGATTTTTTAAAAATAAATAAAGCTAATATTTTTGTATTCATAGAAAATTTCAATGGATATATATAAAAATATTTTTTAAATTATTTTTAATTGAATTTTAAAATATGGTATCCTTTAAATGATTTTTATATGAAATATCAAGGTTAAAAAATATATGTAAGTTCAAATTGGAATTCTTAGAATTAATAAAAATTTTCAAATCAGTTGAAATTATGGAATAATTAATTTAATTTTTTAATAATTTTGTATATGCATCATAGTTAGTAGCAACCTAATTAAGTCAAAGTGGAGAAAAATTGATTCTTGATCTTTTTATTAAATCAATAAATCAATTCAAAAACTGATTGGTATATAATTTTCAGAATTTGTGTAAGGAATCTTTAAAAACCATCAGCAAATCTAGCAAGTATTAAATATTCACAACAAAGTGTCAAGGATAAAGCTTTAAATTGTCTGCAATTGTAGAAAAATCAATCAATTGTGATGAATTGAGAATGAAAAAATAAATAATTTTTTCATCAAATTATTTCAAATTAAATTTTATAAAAGTAGATCCTAAGTTTAATATTTAAAATAAAATTTGAACCAATTTGATAGATCTTGAAAAAAAAACAACTATTCATTGTGTGCATGATCAACATATCACAAGTTCATGATGACTCATATTGATAAACAAATTATCACATTTTATTTCAAGAAATATTTTCAAGTAAAAATTTAATATTGAATATAAATGATAAAAAATTTAGATTACATATTAAATGAAAATAGTTCAAAAATGAGATATTTTTTTATGTAATTCAAAATAAGAATAAATGTAAACATGTAAATAAGGTTTGTTTCATTGATGTAATTTTTGTAATGTTATTGTTTAGAATAAAAGTGAATTTTTTTTAGGATTTTTATTGCAAACATCAATGATATATTCTATATGATGAAATGATGGGAGCAAGAGCTCATGAATTGAAAAATCAATCATAACTGTAAATGATTTATGAAAGACATGTGTAACTTCATAATCTCATGTGTAAAGACACATGAAGTTATAGGAGTAATTTGCATGGAATATCATGTTGAAATTTATGCAAATTGAAGTTGATATGCAGTTCATGAGGTCATGAGTCGCAGTTTTGTGGTTTAATTTTATAAATTGATATATGAAGTTTTAGATTTCAAGATTGAGTTGCCAGTTAACCTGGATTATTTGATAGCAAATTGAAGTTGTGTTTCGATTTGAAATGTTATATCAGTTAAAACCAAGGCTGTCACGGCGCGGTGAAATCAGGTGAGGTTTAATTCAGTTTAAGTGTTTAACCTGATGTTTCTGATGCCACAAAATAGGGTTTAAGTAGATTTAATTCGATCGTCATGAGGTGGATCCTACTACAAGTGGAAGTCCCTATTAGAAACTTCCAAGTGTCACTTTCGCTTGATGAAATTATTTCACGGGAGGTCCACATGTCAATGATTAAACCTTAACACAATCGGGTTTTAGTGCATTAACCATCAACCCGATGGATTTCGCCCAGATTTAACGGTTTTATTTTAAGATTTAAAACTAAAATCGTATGACTCTATTGTAATATCTCACAACAAACGATTGATGATGAGGTGAAAAGTGAGTTGGGGATGGATTGTAAGACTCTAGTTGTAAAGTTTTGATGTGTGTTTCTTTTGATCGGCTAGATTATACCAGAATCATGTGCTTATGATATGTTAGTTTTGTGTGAGCACCTGATTTTATAGTATTCATCCAAACTTGGTCATTGAGATTCTAATTTATACTATTTGAATCTTCTATGAAAAGTTGTGGTAAGGTTTATCTACCTCAATAATGCTTCAGGTAATGGTAAATTGGTTGGTATCTACATTAAACAATTGTGTTCTAGACGCAAGTTTGGATCAGTCAAGATACCATCATGAGGTAAGATACTTGTTATACTGCTAGCAGAGCCCAAAATTGGGTGGCCATGCCCAAACCCACCCATGCCCATGGTTTATGGGTGACATTATTTTTCCATGGGTGGGCACAAGTAGTGCTAAGGCAGTGTTTGTCAAGATCCAACCAGAATTTGAGTAGCTATGGGTGGGCATGGATGGGTTTAGGTAGCTGGTGATGGTTATGGTCTGAAGTAAAATGTTGGCCTCTGATGGCTAGGAATAGCAATAGATGACCTTATATACGAATTTCACTTAGAACTAACTTTCATGGAACTTTGAAATGTCATTATGAATCTAACAAAACATGTGAAAGCTTGATTATCCATTTGGTTTCATCCTTGTGATACTATCATGGGTCTTCCCGTCCTTCTTGCTACTCTTTAATTGGAGAGAAAGTCTTTCTTTAGATTGCAGATATGACCTCAACACTGCAGTAAACCCTTTTGAAACTCGGAACCACTCAGCTGCGTCTGACCTGTGACTCAGGAGACCCAAATTTGGACCCGCGGAGGGCTTCTAGTTCAGCTTCCAATAACGGCAAATTGGACTACGTTGAAGCTGCTAACGACGCCTACGTAGCCCGCGCTTCCACCTCAGACCCAGACCATCTGGAACACAATGCGCTGTCGATCAGCCGTAAGCTCACTTAGCCCATGCAAACCAGACATGAACACGGACGTCGAGCTCCAGTACAGATGGTGCATGATGAGAGCCCCCATCGAACAGCGATTCGGCTATCTGCGACTATAAGTATGAGTCCCTCGCGAATCTGGAAGAAGAAAGTACCTTGGGTATCTGAGAAGTGTCTCAGTTGTTACACTCTGCGATCGCCGGCGAGATCGAGTCCGAGTCTCCGAGTCCCAATTCCGCCAGCTCTGCGACAAGATGGCTCTACTGAGAGATCTGATTGGGTTTTCCACTCTGATTGTGCTGCTGTGTAGTGTTCCAGCAAATGGTGATACCAACTTCACAGCTATGGACAAGGATCTGATAGCCTTCGCTCTGAATTTGGAATATTTCGAGGCCGAGTTCTTTCTGAATGGGGCTCTGGGCTACGGCCTGGACAAGCAGGCACCAATGCTCGCTGCAGGTGGCCCTGCGCCGATCGGTCCCGAGAAGGCCGTCCTGGACCCGACTGCCTATGAGCTCGTCGCTCAGATGGGTCTGCAGGAAGTTGGACACCTCAGGTTTGTGACATCCCCGGAGCTCCAGTTTATGAGGGGTGCTGACTATTGATTGTTCGCTGTATCGAAAGCTTGTTAGAAATTCTGACCGTCCTTTGCTTACTTCGATTTCAGAGCAATCAAATCCAGTATCGGAGACACGGCATTCCCTCGAGTTCAATTAGATATCAGCAAGGCAGTATGGGCTAAGACCATGGACTCTGCCTTCAACAAAACTTTGAGCCCACCATTTGATGCCTATGCCAACAGCGTTAACTACATGCTCGCGTCGTACGCCATCCCTTACGTCGGTCTCACAGGATACACTGGTGCTGCTCCCCTCCTCCAGAGCGCTGGAGCCAAATCGGTAAATACTTGCAATTTATTTCATTCACTATTAACATTTTGCGAAGTATATTTCGAGCTTTTGAACTCTACTGTGAACTCTTCCCACAGATCTGAAGCTTTAGGATGTGACATGTAAACTGTATACAAAGAAAATTAGATCATGAAAATGATAGTCACGAGAAACAGTGGGCAAACTTCTTTTTTTTGCTGAAGTTCAAAGTGTGATCTGAATTTTCTTTTGTTTCCATGCAGCTCGTAGCACGGCTTTTGGGAGTAGAATCTGGTCAGGATGCAGTTATTAGAACTTGGCTGTACGAGAGGAAGGGAGAGATGGTGATGCCGTACAACTTCACAGTAGCGGAGGCGACTGTGCAAATCTCGAAGCTCCGCAACACTTTGGATCATGAGGGTCTGGAGGTTGTGGAAGGTATGATGGTGCCTTTTGAGATTGACGACGAAGGTCTCTTGGTGCCGGAGGAACTTGGAGCAGAGAGGCAGACGAAGGGTAATGTGTTGTCTGCCGACGAGGATTCTCTTTCATACCAGCGTACACCAGAGCAAATTTTGTCTATCGTATACAGCTCAGGCAGCCCAAAGACGCCCGGTGGATTTTACCCTCTAGGCGCTCGAGGAAATATAGCTGAGAAGTATCACAAATATGGAGAAATGTAAATCCTCTAGCTAGAACCTGCGCAGCAACAATTTGTATAGTTCTTGTAGAGTAACATACTCTGCGTGTGTGAAGATTTGTGACGATGATGTGTAATTCATAATCCGTGCGACTGTACATTGACAAAATGTCAATCCGGTATTTTGTGATATTTTTGTGCCAATTTGTACTCATCTCGTCTGTACTGCTGTATCAGATATGTGTGTATATTAGATTGTTATCAATCGCAATAATATTGCGAAACAAAAAGTTCGTTTCATCTCTTACATTTGGTCGAAGATGCAAATTGAGATTTTAATATATCACCTTTTTTGAGAAAAAAAAAAAACTTAATTTCAGCATATAATACTTTAAGACAAAATGATATAATTAAATCATTCTCAACATTGATAATATCTACAATAATACAGTGCAATTTGTTAGTCGAAAATTATTTAATTCTCATCCGAAAAATTTTCTTCAACTAGTATATAATATTTATCCTGTACATATCAATGTAATAACTTCAGCAACTAGCAGTCTACACAAAAAAATACTTCGCCGACGTAAAATGTTAATAAGTATCACACTGACAACGATATAAACAAATATCGCACGTGAATTAATTAAATACTACTATGGATAGGTAGACTTTAATTAGTCTCACAGCATATACTTAAGAAGACTGTGTCCACATGACTGGAAGATAGATAATTGAGTAGTTGGTGTATTGGAAACTTCTAACTTTGATGAAGAGTTCTCTCGAGTGTCGCAATGAAGAATATATACGACTTTTCTGCATGTTACAACCATGTCAGCCTGTCCGATCGGAATGTCAATCGCATAGAAATGGACGAACCTCATTCATTGCAACAGATGGCATGGAATAAGTCGATCTCAGTATATTTCAACTCGGAGCTAATCAAAAGAACTTTGAAGTGATATCTGAAATGATTGGATTTGACTTCGAAATCTGTAGAATTTCGTTCCTTCTGTGATGAATTAGCGTCACTGCTCGCTGCATGTTAAACTGGTTTCCAGTATTCAAAACCCCATTCACGATACAAAGGACGCAAGTCAGATCTTCTCCCTCGTTGTATTAAACACCCTCTGATAGTCTTTTTGACTTTAGTCTCTCACTGTAACATGGGTGGCTCAAGCCGAATTTACAAGGCTCGGCTTGAGCTTCAGATATTAGAGAACAACAGTGCTCTCGATGACCCAGACTCCATCATCTGACTTCCACACCTTTACCCCATATCCACTGAAATCTATGACCTTTAAGCCGCAAGAGAATCTCCATCAATATAGCTTCAGTTGGATTGAAAAGATTTAAATCGCTGCTCCTTTAGCAAAATCGATTCCTTACGAACCACTTCAAGGCAAACAATCCACCTACCAGCTAACGCACGAGGACAGTTCAATTCAACACTCAAGTTCCACAAATCCCGAGCAATTTTTGGACCTTCCTTGACAAGCCAAACGCTAGGTTGCCACATACCCCGTAACTTATTCCAGAAGGTATTCATCTGAATGTCCCCCACGTCCACCACAATTACATTCATGGGCTCCTCCAGCTCCATGCAGTGCGCTTTTAGCGGAATCAATTCCACGAATCCCACCTGCCGAGAATGGTCCACCAACCAGCTCGGGTAAAGTCAACAAACACGATCTAAGAAAACTCCATATTCTGGAGCATCGTCAACTCGCTGCTGGGGGCAGCGTCTGTGTTATAATAATACCTCCGTACTTCTCAGTACCAGTACCTTATCGTATTCAAGATGCTATCACAACATACGATATAGTATAAGATTCCGAGTGTTGCTGCATGTACGAACGTGGCAACTGCATGGATCTACGTGTTCATAGTCTTCCGTAGTTGGCGCTTGCGGCCATGGTTGGGGTTTTAAGACTACGGTGTTGTGCAGTTAAGAACCCTAACCCTAGAGAGGATTCGTTTAGAGTGTATGGAGGAATGGGGTTTTACACGAGGGTTTTAGTGCAGGGGAGGGTGGGTCGAGAAAATTGGACCATATTTTCGAATTTTGACAGTTCTCTACACCGAAATTGCCGATTCCGGTGGAAATAACTTGCATATTTCTTCGCTCGCTGCGCCAAGCCATTTGAAAATGGCGAGTGCGCTGGCGTACAAGAAAAACTTCAAGGCCTCCGCGGCCTTGGAGTTGTTTTACACCGGGGGCCCTGTGGCACTGTCGCCCGATGCGACGTCCGTAGCGTGTGCGTGCTCGGATGATATCAAAATAGTTGATGTGGAAACTGGCAAAGTCACAGCCACATTGAAAGGAGACTCGGAGCTCGTCACCGCGCTGTGCTTTGGTTCCGATGGGAAGTCACTGTTGTCCGCTAGCCGGAGTCTGCAGGTCCGGCTGTGGGATATCAGTTCTGGGACTTGCCTGCGATCTTGGAAGGTAGTTTGGCTGTTTGCTCTCTTTCAAGGATTTTTTGTTGTTTTCCTACATGGAATTGATAAATCTCACCAGTAGTCTATCTTGAAACTCTGCACCAAGGAAACAATATGTGACTCTGTGAACCATTTCATGAGAATGCCTGCAATAATGTGAACAATGCAACATCGATCAGTCCTTCTCTTGCCCTTGTGCCCAAGTGAGCGGTTTTATCTGGAATACACTGGGAGGGATCTCGTGAGTGTGAAGATCGTTCAGCAACAGAAGCACACATTCAATTATCAGGAATTATCGCAGCAATGAGGTCTTTCGACACGCTCTTGCAAAGAGAATGTTCAGTTCGATGAAAAATGTTTGAATCTTATCTTCTATCTAGGCGAATTCGGGAGATCGGTATCGAAAATTGCTTTTGTCTATTATCCTAGAGCATTTGACATTTAAGTTGAATTGTTCAAAAACAGGGTTGCCCTGTGAATAATTATGGAAGTTGACCAGGAAACAATACGCAGCTAGACGATCCCTGAAGGTTCGTAATCTGAGTGCAGGCTCATGACGCTCCTGTTGCAAATATGGTGTTGGATTCTTCTGGTGGCCTCTTGGCCACAGCCAGTGCAGACAAGAGTGTGCTCGTGTGGGATGTGGATGGAGGGTTTTGCACACATGCGTTTCGAGGACATAAAGGCATCGTAACGAGTGTTGTCTTTCACCCTGACACTAAACGACTATTGGTGAGTGTCTAACAAGAAGCCTGACTTTGAACCAGCCGATTTCTACTCTATCTACACATGCTAGCGAGCTGAAACTTACTTTCTGTTCCCTTGTTTGGATAGCTTCTTCAAATGTTGATCGTGAAGTAATCTGAACCAACAATTTTGGGCTTGTTCTTTTATTGCCCGCTCTGTAACAGCTCTTCTCAGCGAGTGATGACGGCACTGTTCGAGTGTGGGACTTGTTGAAGAAATCTTGCATACATATCCTTGACAAGCATTTTTCAGCGGTCACCAGCCTAGCGGTGTCCACGGACGGATGGACCCTCTTGAGTGCGGGGAGAGACAAGGTACAATCAAGTGAAGTTACTATTTAGGAATTATTGCCATAATTCCACGGATGTTTTACGAAATTAGATCGTGGATATGTATTAAGTTTTTTATTCTGTTCTGTAGATTTTAGATTTTACTCATGAGGTTTTTCAATACTTTTCTCTTTGTAGGTGGTAAACGTTTGGGACCTGAAATCGTTCGTTCTGAGGACAACTGTTCCTGTTTATGAAACGCTGGAGGCCGTGTGCATTGTACCTGATGGCTGCGGATTGCCAGGCAGTAGCGCAAAAGTGGGTGGTTCAGGAGTAAGATTTCTTACTGTAGGGGATCTCAGTGTTGTTCGCGTTTGGAATTCGGAGGGGTAAGAATTGAGGAACGTTTTGGATTTCATGTTTTTACTGCGAGGAACGGAGCACTCTCAGCTCTGTTTCATCATCTGAATCTTCATCTGTTCTGAACGAACGCCTATCTCATTTTCTGTATCAGTTTTGGCGCTGCTCCAGAATTTCAATATCATGATCCATGTATGAGGTCCTCGTGTAATATCTCGTGTTTTCTCTTCAGTGCTTCTCTACTTTATACCCAAAAATCATCCGTCGCTTCAAGTAGTAGCAAGAATGACGATTCAAAGGGAGGCATATTGTATGCCACGGTGGCTCCTGGCGACCGAATCATGTGTGTCACTTCAGATCAATGTCTTCTCTTCTACGAATCTGTTCCTGGAGAAGGTGGCGATCCCGACTTCAAGCTGTCAAAACGCCTGATTGGTTACAATGAGGAGATTATTGACTTGAAGTATGTCGGAGTCGATTCCACTCGCCTTGCTGTAGCGACGAATCTTGAGCAGGTATACAAATTTAGTGATTCAGTGGCAACCATTTCAGAGTTGGTTGCCACTGAATTTTTTGACCAATATTGAGTCTTGGAAGTGGGATGGTTTTGACTTGTCACTCTGTTTACGCTTCCTACAAGCGGTTCGGGTGCTCAATACAGGGCTGCATTGTGATCTGTTCTGTGTTTGTTTCAGTTTTCATGAAAGCACATTAGAGTCGTGTTCGAGTAGTTTTTTATTGGTAGCTTCTGATGGAAATTGATCAACCTTCAGCATGTTTGGTCGTAGGCTGGGAACTAAACCTCTTTTTGTCTTAACTACTTGAACATTCAACCTAAATTTTTTAGCTTCATACATTTTTGCAGGTTCGAATCTACGATATGGAGTCCATGGCTTGTTTACAAGAATTGGTGGGACACACCGACATTGTGTTGTGCCTAGATACGTGCTTTACCAGCTCTGGACAGCCTCTCTTAGTCTCTTCTGGGAAAGACAATTCGGTACGTAGAGGCTGGCCTTTGTAATTTTTTAGTTGGAGATCGGTTTAATTCTATCTCAATATCTCTCGGATGTTTGTCATACCCTTAAGAATTTAGACCCCTGCCTGAGCGGTGCCCGTGGTCTCGCGCTACGACTGGCAAAATACTAAGAATAAGATTAGCTTTTTAAGCCAAGTATTTATATAGGCAAAACAGGTCGCTGGCGCTGGCATGAAAGTAAAACCTGCTCGACGTTTTCCTACTAAGTATCGTGAACATAGTAAGTGAAGATATGTCAGTTCCCTTGGTTGACACAGTATTTTGGGATCGCTCTAGTACGAGGTTTTGTAATGTGCGTAACTTTCTCGCAGGCTCGGTTGTGGGATCTGGAGACAGGAACATGCATGGGGATAGCTACAGGGCATATGGCAGCTGTCGGGGCGGTTGTGTTTTCCAAGAAGAGAAAGAACTTTTTCGTCAGTGGAAGCAGGTAATCTGTGAGTGAGTTGTGCAAATGTCTGCCTACTGAAATTGTATCAAATTCTAGTTAATCGAGGAGTAAGTGTGTTATCTCTGGGGACGCGTACTTTTCGGGGCATTCTTACGATTTTGGCTGTGTAGATGTGAAGACCTGTTTTGAATGCATGGTTAATGCCATAAAGCCTTTCTTGTAGCCTCCTTTACTCGGCTGGCTAACCACGAGTTCGATTTTTCTACAGTGACCGGACCATTAAATTATGGCCCTTCGAAGCCAATATAAATGAGCCCGGCGAACCTTCGAAGCTGACTTCTAAAGCTGTAGTTGCTGCCCATGATAAGGACATAAACGCGCTTGCTGTCGCACCAAATGACAGCCTGGTCTGCAGTGCTTCTCAGGTTTGTCTCGTCATCCATGCTGGATCTGTAGTACTTTTTAGATTTCTTTCAGAAATCTATCCTTTCCACTCCAAGATCGTCGCTAGCTGGAGTTGCAACCTTTGATTTCAGGGCGAGGTGTTCGTGAACCGTCTTTCCTTATGAACGGATTTCTACTCTGAATTCTCGTCGTATGCGATGAAAAGCTCTACTTGTCTAGACCTAGTCTTCACATCGACTTTATCGTTTGGCGCTTTTGTTTTATGACACTTTAGGAGGCCATTCGTACCTGCTGACGTTTTTCTCTTGAAACCCAGGACCGTACTGCGAAGGTGTGGAAGCTTCCTGAACTAACTCTTGTGATTACGCTTGCTGGGCACAAAAGAGGCGTTTGGTGCGTCGAGTTCTCTCCCGTCGATCAGTGTATAATGACTGGCTCAGGAGACAAAACTATTCGAATTTGGTCACTATCAGATGGATCATGTCTAAAAACCTTTGAAGGTCATACCGCCAGTGTTCTGAAAGTGGGTTTCATCACAAGAGGAACACAGATAATTTCAGCAGGTACCATTATACTACTGTGATTAGTTACTTTGCGTGCTTCTATCAAATTTTAATTCAGCGATAAATGTCATCAGTCGGAAACCGAGTTTTCAACAGTTGTTCAAAGACCAGCTTATTAAATAAACTGTCCAAAGGAAACTTATAAATTTTAAAGCGGTTTGATGCGTTTTTGTCTCCTTAGGTGCCGATGGTTTAGTCAAGCTGTGGACAATCAAGAATAATGAATGCACCAATACCTTTGATAATCATGAAGATAAGGTAAAGTGTTTATTTTGCCCATCTTTTCCTATTGTTAGGCCAATTTTGCGATGGGTCATTGGTAGTTCATCGATTACTGTCGCTTGGGGCAGATTATTCTCGTTGAGACCTAAGTCTGAAGATTAAAGAGCATGCTTAATCTAGAAATCCTACAGAGTTAGTTCCATCAGTTTAAGGAGTTCGTTCAGAATTGATGTTCTGTTTTTTCAAAGTCAAACGACGATAGTGCTCAAATATGCCAACGTTTCCATACTGCTTTTTTGCGTTCCAAGATGTCATCCTTAACCGTCGAGATCTTTGTACCTTGCAGATCTGGGCTCTAGCTGTGAGTGGTGATGGAGATAACATTGCAACTGGAGGTGCAGATTCTTTGGTTAACCTGTGGGTAGACTGTACCGTAGAGGACGAAGAGGAATCCTACAGACAGGAGGTGCTTGGAAGCTCTCTCGTGCTTTCAGAAAGTTGCCAGTAATATGATGCATGCCCTGCTTAGTTTGCTGCAATGTCATATCAATGTCGGTGTATGAAAGGCATCGATGGTGAAGATTCTAGTGTGAACGTCGTCAAGTATTTTTTCGTAATTGCAAACTAATGGATTGTTTGTGTACCAGGAAGAGGAAGCTCTTAAAGACCAAGATCTGGCCAATGCGTTGAAAGAGACGAACTATGTAAAAGCTGTCCAGTTGGCGTTTGAATTGAAACGCCCTTACAGACTGCTCAATGTTTTCGAGGAAGTGTACAGGTTTGTAGTCGTTACTCTTCTTCAGTTGTGAACTAGTCATCGGGAAGTTTGCATATTCAAAGCATTATGTGCAGTGAAGGAAGTTCATCATCTCTTTACTTTATTCCTTGGGAAGGTTCTTATTTGTTATCGATCTGTGATCATATTTTTCATTGACGCATCTTATCCAGATACCCAAGAGTCCGAAGAATCTGAATGTGATCTTGACTGGAGTACACGGTTGTTGTGCCGGTCTGTAGCTTAGGCTAACTCCAGGTTGTGTCTGTCCAGTATAAAGGTAGTTTTGTCTTCTGCTTCATCTGCAGAATGTCCTCCCACACTATTCACCACTCTCTTACCATCAGTGTTGTACTGACGGGTGCTTGTAGGAATGAGGATTCGACAACTCAGATGCAAACCATTCTTCAGGCATTAGGAAAAGAGCATCTTCGACTTCTATTAGAGTATATCCGCGACTGGAACTCTAAGTCCAAGTTTTGCCACATTGCCCAACGTGTGATGTACAGCATGTTCCATGTAATATCTCCAATTGACCTCATTAAGGTAAGAGGTCTCTCATATCGAAGGCGAAGAATGTTACTTTTTACTTTACTTACTTACCCTTCGCTGCGGAATATATCATAGAACACATCAGCACTGTATCTCCTGGATTCCTTTCTTTGCTGTCCTTACTCATACGGTTCTGACTGTGCATGACCATATACATATATGGCCACCGGTAGACAAAATGCTGAGCTATCAGGACCTCTATCTCTCGATGGAATGGTAGATTTACGAAAGAGATTCTGATTTGTAGTTATGGAGTAGTGAAAATCTTATGTATGCCTGAGTTAGATACGACAAACGTTTTGGATATTCTGTCTTATAATTTCTTCAACTTTCCGGCTTGGAAATTGTACTGATTGCTTTACTGGGACTCGGGTGCAGGTCCCTGGTATTCGTGAACTTTTAGAAGGCATTCTTCCTTATTCACAGCGACATTTTAGTAGAATAGATAGGCTGACTAGAAGTACATTTTTGCTGGACTTTGTCCTGTCATCCATGTCCTCACTCTTACCATCTGAGGACAAACGTTTGCTCACTATAGAGCCTGAAGTCGAACCTGATATCGAGCATGCGACTTTTGAGCCTCCTTTAGACTCAGCTAACCGAAAGAGGGACGCAATGCTGGAAGAGGTGGATGCACAATTAGAGCTGATTGCTGCCATGAAAGAGCATGTTGACTCTAGGATGAGTGACGCAGAAGTTGTACCCGATGTTACCCCGGAAGTAGAGGTCTCAAGGAAGAAGAGAAGGAAGCAGAAACATTAAGACGTACAAAAGAATCAGTGTGATGTTCCACGTGATTGCGTTTCTTTGCGTTGAACTCTGGGTGTAGTCATGATGTTCCACAAGATTGTTACGGATGCAGGATATATGGTTCTTATAGATAGATCTTAGATTATGCACATCTTTGCGGAGGTGAGGAAGAGCCAATGTAATAGGTAGAGCTCAATGACTTAACATTCGTTAGCCGAAGAATTATCGCAGGTGAAACTGTAGGGACCCATTATTTGTTCAATATCGGAGAAGGCCACTGCGATCCAATCGTCTGGTGCACGAAGTGAAGTCGGTGGAAGTTGTATAATAGGTAATCTTTAATGTTGCCAACCAACTCTGAGTCATTGGCTGGCGAGGTTGAAGAATCCGTTGTCAAGCGAGGCGAAGGTAAGAGACAAGACAACTAGTCACACCTTTCTTAGTTCGCTTTTTCAACGACGGTCTTATATATGACCGTATCCTCATCTCTCTTTCTGCTATATACGGTCTTATATAAGACCGTATGTAGCGGAAAGAGAGTTGAGAATTGTAATTTATTCAAATTTGGTGCTTCACCAGTGTAGAACAGTTGTCAGCGTGAATCGTGTGTGAGTCTGCGAGGATAAGTACTGAAGAGTAGGCCATTTGAGTAGACATAAGACACGAACTTTCTCATCTGCCGATACGAATCGCTAAGAGCGTGGATCATCGCAGTGATCGGAGCTGACAGAAAACCGGCAAAAAGGATGTGATCTTGCGTGTTTTTCATCTTTGAATCTGCCACGTTTGTGATATTGACAACTATCTCGACAGGTTCGTGTAAAGCCCTTCTACATATCTAAAGAACGCGCTGGATGCTTTTCTCTCGGCTACATCACGTTATCGTAGAATTGGACAGATCAGTCGTGAATTGGGCCCGAACATGTCTCATTTGTCTCGAGGAACGAAGAGTGTGATATATCACTTTAAAGGTTTGCATATCATTATTTGTACTGAACGAGCTTTCTCGAGATTACATGTATCAGCTCGTCAACTTTTGTATTGATACTTTCTTTATAGTTTGTCCTACTCCATAACCATTTTTACCCAGTTTTTCTTCATCTATCCGCCTCATTCAATTTTCATGTCCAGCGTCATGGCTTACATACGTGTGAGGACAAACTGTTTTTTGTTCAAGAAGCCTGTCTTGGATTCAATTTTACACTCGCCTTCATTGTTTGAAAACAAAATTGCAGTGAATAACACCAAGGACCACAGCAACCACTGTCAATGCGAATCGGTTGGTTTGCGGATCCAGACACACATCCTCATACCAATGAAGAAGAGTGTTTACACTGACCCACGAAGCGTGAGTTTGGATGTCACTGATTGGAATGACGGTTGTACCCAGATTGTGGAATGAAAAGGTGTACCTCTTATCATTGCATGGATGAAGTCATTGAGATATGGAATCACGTTTCAGATTGTAACCAACCGACATAAACGAACGGATGGACAGTTAGACTTAGGACCCAGACAAACCTGTGCTGGACATCTATTGTGAACTTCGAGCGGAACCTACCAATTGGTTGTTCACATGTAGCCTTCAAGCGAAGTCTTATCTTCCATCTTTGAGTATAGTAGCAGTTTACGAAGACATTCACTGAACTTCAAAACTCGGCTTTCTATTTCTTTTTTCACGCGTTACACACGTACCAAACCTGGAAGTATCTCTGGGCCAGCCATTCTATACGCTGAGAAGAGGAGCATGCGGACGCATCGCACACTCGTCTTTTAGCTTGTAACAGGGGAAGAATGACTGTCAACGTGCCACTGCTCGTCATTGACATTCGGTGGGTTACTCGTGTTTTAAAGTAGTAAAAAATTTTGGCGTTATTGGTCCATCACTGTTGTCGAATTCCCCTCACTAGTCTGTACACCACTACCTCCATTTGCGAGCGTCATTGAATGAACATCGCAATCTAATGCCGACGTCTGCTGGTGATCGACCCTCGAGCCGCAACTCGAGTGGACCTCCCGGTGAATCGGGCCTCTCTGTGGCGGGCACCATGATATCTCACTCATTGAGTCATTCCTTCGAATCTCTCCCTCCCTTCCTTACCAGAAGAAGACGAAGACAACGATCCGTTGGTTCATTATCTCATTGCTCCAAAAGGCCTCCACTTCTCCAAATCCCCCATCGAAGTCGGGCCAAATCAAACACCGGACGAAGTCCACGTATCCTCACATGATGGAAATGGATCTGGGGAATAAGCTAAAGACCTACGAGATCGCGTGTTTGAAGCCTGCAGTACATGCCTGGACTAATTCTACTTATCCTGCAGCTGCTGCTGAAGTCTGAGGACTGTTCCCTGCTGACTGTGATTACTGACTGGCTGGGCCGGGATCGAACTGAGGCATAGTGAATCATAAAAAACAAAACAACGCATTGAAAGCTACACGATGGATGGGCCCGATGTGAGGGCGGGGCAAGTACCATGACTGGACAATCCCCGCAGCCAAACTTATCTCCGACTCCTAAATTAAGGCTCGGAAGTATCATCTTTATCCAAAGCGGTCTGACGCATTGTTGCCATGGCCAGGAATTGCTTGCAGGACACCTGTCACGGACGAGCGGGCCGACGCGCCACGTCATGCAGAGATAAGAAGGCGCGGCTGGAAAGACGATGGCGCTCATTGAGCATGGCAGCGGATTGAGCGGATGATGTTGTGGGTCATGTGACATGGGATGTGATCGAACGCATCGATGCGTTATTCATTCCCTTTTTCAATTTTTTTAATTCAGTTCGAGGTGGAGCCCTCGAGGCTCGAGGAAGGATGAGGAAGAAGGCTGTTGCCGCTCGCGTTGCTTGCTCCTGCTCTTCTTGTTGTTGGGCTGGTGATGCTGCCGATCCTGCCGGTGCTGCGGAGGGCCCCGCCACGAGCCCCTCCATCTCTTCGTTGCTCCGCTTCTCGGCTGCGCGCTGGACCTGGCATTCAAGATCTGCTCTCGGCCACAAAGGAGGGAGGGCAGGCGCGCTAGGGAGAAGATCGAAACAAACAAGACTAGAAATGGGACGAGAGGAGGAAGACCTAAGAATGGCAAGGAAGGACGACGAGGAGATGTATCGGGAGGTGGGGCCTTTTGTCTGCCGCTCTTCTTCGATTAGGAGGTGTTCGGGCCTTGACCACATCCGAAGTCAAGGTTGACGGGGTCGTCTGGTAGGGGACACAAGACGAGGCAGGGCTAGAGAGTCGTCTCCAGATTCGGCATCTTCTTCTAGTGGTGAAGCACACACTCAGCACAACTACATGGAGAATAAATAATTCATTGTCTTGTGTGATTCAACGTTGTGCGCGTCGTTAGTGGCAACTGCCAAAAGGCAAAAGTGTTTGTTTCTCATAAGGCAGGCGATTTGGGCGACCTTCGTGCTGCTGCTGCTAACATCATGTCTTTTTCCACTCTCGGTCCATGTCCCTGTTGTCTGTGTACTACTGCTGCTCGTACCTCGGTGCTACTGGAGTTGCCGTTCTTCCCCCACTTGCGTTGTGCCTTGAGTCCTCCGATTGGAACGCTGATTACTAGGAATGGTTTGAGGCTGCAGACTCGTTTCTACATGTTGACTCTAGACGCTTTCGTCAAGAATATCTCCACCTGCCTTTGATTCCGTATCTCATCGAAGAAAAAGTTTTAAAACCTTGTTGAAGAACCGACCACCACTTGCATGATCTTTGTGGCTGACTTTGTAGCTCTCCGAATGAATGAAATATCGACAGCCTACGTTCACTTTTCGACGGAATCTAGGTTCAAATTCCATAATGGATCTCCTATTAGTCAACCCTCACAGAAGTGACTTCTCTCTCGGAGAATAATTGCCCTTGCACAACGATCCTCAAAGGACAACAATCCGAGGAAAGAGATTACTTTGCTTTTGGAACAGTGTACCTGGTAGAACTTACCAGTATACATCGTATAATACTATTCGTCTCATCAAATAATATTTATTGATATGATATACCAGTTAATTTATCTTCTTGGCAGTCTTAATGCATCCATGATTATGAATATAAAAAAGAAGGTGTGAGATAAAATGAAAGTACGTTGAACTTTGAGTTATAAAAGTCTAAAATGTTACAAAGAATAATTATTAGTCTTAGATTAATTTTGATACTAATGTATTTCTTTTAGTATGACAACATGATTGAAATGTTCTCCAAGAAAATTTATTATGTAAAATATTTTTTGTTAGGTTAACTCTATCTTGGATTAATTCAAGTTAGTGATAATTATGTTTAGGAAATTAATTATGATTCGGTTATGTTAGGTTAAGTATTATGTGCACCTTATCTTTTCTCGTATAGAATAGTTAAGATGACTTTCTCTGCGTACAGTTCAGGATAGCATCGACAGAGTGAAGGAGTTGGAATAGCGCTTGGCTATGGAGGCCGTGTAATCATTCGTGCTTTAGTGAAGTTTTGCTCTTGCCTGTGGACGTAGTCTGTGGAAGGTGAACCACGTTATCTTGATGTTGTGACTGTTGTGAGTGCTGGTTGATCTGGATGAGGGGATCTTTCAATTGGTATTAGAGCTCGTTCAATGCACGCTGAGTTTTGATTTCCACATTTTTGGACAGCAGGGAGGCGCGGAAGCGCTGTTGGAGATTGTACTTGCAATTTGGCTGATTCTCTGTAGAAGAGTAGTCAGTGGCATCAATTTCACTTTGATGAAAGAAGTAAAAAGTTTCATGGAGTGATTAGAGCGATTTTTTGGAAATTGAAGCGGAAAGCTCTCTTACAATCTACTATGAGAGAAACCGCTTCATTTTTCCAAAATCAGAATTTTTTATTACCAAATTTTCCAAATCTTCACAGATAGGATTGATGTACTGTTCAAGCCAATCATTTTGACCTAAAGTTCGTTGAGTTCTGATGAAGGGTCGCAAAGTTACGAGTGATTGAAAGTTTAGGTCAATTCATGTGAGTCTGATTTCACAGTTTCGTAGTTTTGGAAAGATTTAAGGAGGTTACTAGATTATTGGAAGTCGATCCGAGATAGTGGGGTCGGAAGTTACCCAAAATAGCTGGGTCGGAATAAGAAACGTCCAACCAAGCTGCTCAGAGAAACTGTGAGGAATCCTGTCAAAAATGAATCAAACAAAGAGTTGATTTTTTGGCATTTTGATGGATTAGGGTATGCAAATGATATCCATTTGAGTTCAAATTTTACAAGATGATTTCCAAGCTAGTTGAGAACGTAGTCTAAAAGACGGTTTTGGAAATAGACTTTGACTAAAGTTTTGGTAAGAAAGATTCCCTTGGGAGGTCTAGATTCAAGTTTTTACCCCCCTAAACTCAAGGATTAATAACTTTTTATTCGAAGGTAATTTTGACAAACCGTTTTCACATTTCAGTGTGTTGGCTTGTGGAATAAGCGTGAGTGATCTTAGATTTCAATTTTGAGAACGTTCAATTTTTGACGTTTTTTGGAACTAAGTGTTGAGAACGTTTAACACGGTGAACGCTTTCTAGGCATGAGTAGCTTGGAGCGAGGAGTGAAACTTGTTCCAATTGTTGCTGAATGTGCTGGAACTCTACATTCAGACGACAAAAGTGAGGAGTCAAGCTTTCTCTCTAAGCATACGGTTGAAATCATTCCGGAATAACTTCAACCGATCAAACCTATGGCACTATCTAAGGTTGGTGGACCGAGGTTTGAAGTTGAACGGTTTGATGGTCGTACCTACTATCTCCTATGGGAGTGGCAAGTTAAGAATGTGATCAAGGCAATGAGCTTGGGGAAGGTTCTCAAGCCTAAACCCCTGAATGTTGATGACGAGTATTGGAATGAGATCCAAAATCAAGCTGTGAGTATTGCCTCTCTCTACTTGAAGCCAAATGTGTTGAAACAAGTGGAGGAATTGGAGACTGTGACAACTATGTTTCAAGCGCTTCAAGCAAAGTATCACATGAAGCAATTGTCAAATCAACTTTTCACATCGTTCAAGCTGATGAGCTTCAAAATGGTGGAAGGTACAAAGATCCAAGACCAGATTGATGCTTTCAATGATTTGTTGATGGATCTTTTGAATTTAGGTGCAAATTTGAGTGATGAAAAAAAGTCATTTCAGTTTTTAAGTTCTTTGCCATCATCATATCACATTCTATCTCGTGTGTTACTTCATCGAGACAAAAAGAGCATCACATACAACGAGGTAGTGATAGCTTTGTTGACGGACGACATCCAACAAAAGCTGGTTTCTTCTTCAACACCTTCTCTTTCATCTATCGCTTTCTATGTCACTCGTGGGAGAATGGAGAAGCGATCTACTAGCGTCAGCAAGTCACAAAACCGATCCAAGTCAAGGGAAGGTAACAAGAAGGAGATGAAGTGTTGGAAATGTGGCAAGCTGGGCCATATGAAAAAGGATTGCCGTAGTAAGCCACATGAGAAGAAAGAGGAATATGTTGGTACTTCTGCAAATGTTGTTATCAACAATGATGAAGGCTATGTCTTGTGAACCTCTTCCCTCACCGGGAGAGATGAATGGATTTTAGACTCCGCTTGCTCTTATCACATGCGTTTTATCTGAAAATTTTTTACAACTTATGCAGCATCTCAAGGTTCAGTCTTAATGAAAAATGATCACTCCTATAAGATTGAAGGTATTGGATCCATTAGGATTCAGATGTTTGATGGGAAAACTCTAACATTGACGAATGTTAGACACATTCCCAGTATGCGTAAGAATTTGATTTCACTCGGGGAGGTTGACATGAGAGGCTTTCATTGGAAAGCCGTTGATGGAATTCTCACAGTTGAGAGAGGTTCCACCGTGATAATGAAAGCTCACAAGCGGAAGAATCTGTACATCTTAAAGGGATCTACAATTTTTGGTGAGGTCAATTCTATGACGTCACTGGAGTATGAAACTAGATTGAGGCATGCTCGTCTTGGCCACATGAGTGAAAAAGGTATGAATATTTTACACGAATAGAATTTATTACCTAGCTTGAGGTCTTGTGAGCTTGAATTCTGTGAGTACTGTGTATTTGAAAAGCACACTCGACATGCTTTTGGAACTGGCGTTCATAGCTCCAAGACATTTCTTGAGTATGTTCATTATGATGTGTGGAGCCTTTCCCCTGTTGCCTCACATTCTGGGAAGGAGTATTATGTTACATATATTGATGATTACTCAAGGTATGTGTGGATCTACTTTCTTCTACACAAGTCTGAAGTCTTTGTCACTTTTAAGATTTGGAAAGCCCAAGGTTGAGACTCAGACAGGAGAGAAGGTGAAGTTCTTGCGATCGGACAACAGTGGGGAGTACGTTCCCAAGAGTTTGGAGCGTTCTGTGAAAATGAGAGAGTTACCCGCCACTTCACTAATGTTTATACTCCACAACAAAACGGCGTGTCAGAGAGTCTCAATCGGACGCTGTTGGATAGATCACGAAGTATGTTGAGCCATGCTGGTTTAGGACAGATTTTTTGGGCTGAAGCCATCAATACTGCAGCTTATTTGAAAAACTTGTCTCCTTGTAGTGCAATAAGTTACAAAACTCTGTTTGAAATGTGTGCAGAAACAAAATGCTGATTAATCTTATCTTGGAGTGTTTGGATGTGATGCTTATGCACATGTTACCAGGGAATCGAGTACTAAGCTCGATCCCAAGTCTACCAAGTGTATTTTTCTTGGTTATCAGCGTGATGTCAAAGTATATCGGCTTTAGGATCCTGTAGGCGGTAAACTTATTGTTAGTAGAGATGTTTTTTTCAATGAGTCCAGATCATCTAAAGAGTGGGAGATTGTTAATCTTGCTACTAACGAAAGCCATTTATCTTCCCCAAACACCATTGAGGGGGAGATTTATCATGAAATTTCTCATGATGGGCCACAAGGAGGTGCTCCACAAATGACGGGCGAGGCAAAAGAGCAAGATTTTGCCTCGCCCGTTTAGTTCTAGAAAGTAAAGCTAAATCATGCTTTCCCCTCTATAGCCGAGAGTTAACTAGAACTCGGCTGTAGCCGGCAAAAACCAGATGGAAAATACATATACAAAAGTTACTAGACTAACCATTCTTACGCAAAACTTGCAACTTTTTGCAATGCTCAGAAAAAACTTTCTAATAAAATCACTTTGGTCAATGTGTCTGCAAGATTGAGCTTACCATCAATTTTGATGAGCTTAAGTGCGCTATTAGACAATACTTGTCTAATATCGGATATCAATGTGCTTTACTCTTCGATCCATCACATTGTTTGATAGACATACTAGATGAAAGTGCAATTTGACTTTCACAGTAAAGATTCACATCGCTCTGTGGCAGCTCAATCTAAGTGGCCAACTTATTCAATTAAATTGCCTCCTTCGCTTATTCTACAGCCGCAACGTATTCAGCTTTTGTGGACGACTGGAAATGCATTTTGAAATGTAGATTTCCAACTTATGCATCCACTAGAAAGAGTAAAAACATACCCAGTTGTTGATCTCCGCTTATCCAAATTTCTTTCATCATCAACGTCAACATACTCCAAGAGCAAACTTGCATTATTTGATCGTGCATCAAACAATAATCCAGTATCAAGAGAACACTTGATATATTTCATTGTCCACTTCACAGCTTTCCAATGCTCTTGTTCGAGATTTGACATATACCTATTCATCTTTCCAACTGCATGTGCTATATCATGTCTAGTGCATACCATTAGTACATAATACTGCCAATTACACTTTCATAAGAAATAGAAGACATGAATCCTTTTGCACTTGCATCAGTTGGACATAAAGCTGCCGAAAGCTTAAAGTGTACAGCTAATGGAATACTTACAACTTTAGCAGTTGACATGTTAAACCTAACAAGTACTTTCTTTGCATACCGTGTCTTCGTCAACCAAAGTTTGCTTGATGACTTGTTCCTGTGTATCTCCATGCCTATAATACATTTGGCAAGACCTAGATCTTTCATGTTAAACCCAGTATTGA